TCAAACCAAAGTTTCACACGCCGCTCTCGGCTCCCGAGCCTTCCCAGGGAGAAGGAGCCGGCCTGGCCTTCCCCGCCCGGGGCCGCGGGAGCAGGAGGGCACTGGCCCGACCCTCCCCGTGGCGGAGGCTGCCCGGCCACAGCTCCTACAGCGAGTGTTTGATGCGAAGACAAAGTCATTGTATACCAGACCCACACCTTCATCAATGCTGTAAAATGTAACCACCCCCTCGTGTCCCCCCTGTCAGACTCCCAAAGTAGACATTCCCAAAATAAGACTGGCATCATCAGAAAGCGAAAAAAAAAAAAAAAAAAAAAAAAAAAAAAAAAAAAAAAAAAAAGAGGTGGGCATTTCCGAACTGTACTCCAGCCCCCTGCCGAGCTCAACCCCTGTGTAAATAGATCTAGGAATTAACCAATGTAGTTGTTTCAATCTCTAATAAAGTTTGGTGGTGGTGCCACCCCGAGCAATGCCGCAGCCGCCCGACCACCCGCACACATCCAGCAGGGAAAGTGTCCAGCCACATCCAGCAGGGAAAGCCGAGCAGCCGCTGCACGTGGACAGACAACGCCAGGGCACGGTCCTTAAACACGCAGAAGGTTGCACCTGCCTGAGAAATGTCTGTGGAGCAATACTCAAAGAACGATCTGGGTTAGAACTGCCAAATTTTTTTAGAGCGGGGGGAAGTTTCCATAGAGTCGAGGTGTGGAGTTTTTTGTTTTGTTGGTTTTTTTTTTCCCCTTTTGTGTTCTGCTTTCTGTTTATTCCAGGTGAGCGTTAAGATGAATTAGAAAATTACATCCACTTTTGCAGGTAGACGACTAAAAGCCATACAGGGTTTACCAGGTACCTTAGGAATGGACACACTAAGCTCCTGCTGCTCTGGTCTCAGACTCCCATCGAGGTACAGACTCATAATTTACCTTTTTTTTTCCTCATGTAATATAAAATGCAGAGTATGAAGAAACCTTTTCTTGCAGTTAAAAAAAAAAATATTTCCTATGGCTGGAGGTGCAGTGTAGGGAATTTCGTATCTTTCTGGTGCTTTTAGTGGCATTTTTCTCATTTCTCAGTTTAGGAAATTGTTCTCAATGAGTTGAACATGATTGTGCTTAATGCTTTGAGCCAACCTCTTCCCACCTTAACTTCATCTCAGGTCTTAAGAGAACCCCACCCGTGGAGGTGTCCAGTCCCACCCTCTGTCCCTGCGCCCGTCCCAGCGGAGATCAGGAGCTGTTGGATGGTTCTGGTGAGGATTCCCAGCTGGCAAAGGCAGCATTTCAGACCCAGTGGCAGCAGGAAGGGCGCCCCGTGTGTGGTGTGTTCAGGGTGTGCAGGGATGGGTGCCGGAGCGATCCAGGGAGGATGGAAATGCCGAGGACGCGGCAGAGCAGGGGCTGTGCTAGGGATGGAATTCCCTGCCCGGGCAGGRCTCTGCTCCCGCTCCCCTGGATCCAGGAGGGCCGGACAGGAGCATCAGCTGCCCTTCTGTGCATAAGCATGGCCAGCAGCCCCTCCCCGCTCCCGAGGTGRGGTCACACCCTTAGGGGAGCCGCTAATTGGGACGGAAATAAGCGGCCGATTCCCATCAGCTCCACTAAGTCCAGATYCTGTTACTACCCTTTGTTACAGCGATGCATTGGGAGGAGTACAAATAAAGTCTTCATAGGCACTTAGCGAACAATCCATATCATTTTAGCAGTAACAATAGCAGTATTAGTGTTTAGCTAGAATTTGCAAAATATTTTAATATTAAGTAGTCGAGAAAATTATTCAACACGACGAGATGGCGAGGCTTGAATTCTGCCAATTTCTGCTGCTTCTATCTTTGATGCACTATTTTAAAAGCAATCTGATGAACAGCRAAAGGCTTTGTGAGCAACCAGGAGTTGGAGTGTGGCTTTCGATTCCTTTGATCTTTTTCAGACTTTGTTTTAATCTTACGGGATCATTGGCTCTTATCTGCCATCTTATTCCGCCTTAGCTGTTGTCGATGTTCTCTTTAGCTGCAGCTTCTGTACCAAGTCAGATTTACCGAGGAAATTTGAGAAACCATGAAATGGTAAAATATGCAACTCTGGGGCATCTTTGCGGTGCCTTTGTTTTAAATTATTCACAGTAATAATGACTCATTGAAAGTCCATCTTTAGCTGACTGTCGTGTTCCGGAGAGAAGGGTGGTGTAAGTGCAATTCTTGATGTGAGTAAATTAGAAATGAAAACCCATCATGGATGATAAAACTTCTTCCCAGTCTGCAGGAGCAGTTGAAGAGCACTGGACTGCATGTGTGCTGTTTTGGGAAGGATCTAGCTTTTTAGGTGTGGATTCATAAATGGTAATTCTGCGACTCATCCCATTTATCTTGCTAGAAGAAAAAAAAATAAATAAAAATCCACCATCGTAGTTCCAGTGTGGTCAGRTAAAACCATTGTATAGATAGAGCAAGTGTTCATTTCTTCACTAACTGCATATTTATAGAGTAGATAGGAACCATTTGTAAGSTAAGTCCTTTAAAGTTCTATAATATTAAAAGTAGTGGTTATTGGTCTGATTATGCTGCTCTTGATTCTACACACTAGACAAAAAGCAGTGCTTGTGAAATGCAGTGTTTTCTCTTAATGCCACTGGTGATAGGAAGTAGTTCCTTCAGTTCTAACTCCTGTGCCCTTATCTGCTGCTTGCTGACGTAAGCAATAATCCCTCTCTAACGGTATCTAAGTGTTCTGTATCTCGTACCTTGATCGTCTATCTGGTGACAGTGTAAAATATTAGGCTATTAGAGAAGTATCTCATTGTATTTATTAACTGTTGATACTGAGATTCAGTCTGTGACCTGTGTTTTGTATTTTTATCGTGTATCTTAGTGGTGGTGAAAATTTGTACAACGAATCTTTCCAATAAAGAGCTGAAGTATCCCTGTTCCGCGTTCACACAACCCCGCATCCCTCTCGGTCGACGTGGTGACCGTGGTTGCAGAACCAGGAGGTAGCAGTGACAACATGAATTTTATTTTTTTTTTTTTCCTGTTTCAGTTGTGGTGGTTTTGAGGAAGGGGCTCGGGGCCGTTTTGCCCGGAGCCACTCAAAACTCGCTCGTAAGCTCTTCACTGTGAGTTCCGCGGGATTCCCGCGCCGGGAGGTGCCGCTGGGCTTTTCCAACTCTGAGGAATGTCTGCGGTGCAGAAAGCAGAACAGCACCAGAGCAGGGAGCTCTTACCCCATTCCATTTGCACTAGAGGTGGGTGGAAGCGCACGTGCGGGACTTTTCTTTACCTAGAAGTGCCATCCATTGTCCTGGCGAGTGAAAACCRTTCCGTAGCCGCCTTTGTTGGGTTCGGTGGCGCCGCGGCGCCGAAGGACAATGTCCAAGCAGACTTTAACTTACACCACGTTTCTGGTGGTGCAGCATCCTAGAAACTCCGCCTGTTTTTGGAGCACTGTGTGTCAGTTGGCCCACGGGCAGATGAGGCACGAGTTGTGTGCAGAGACATGGCTGCTGTAGTTCAGGTCACTCTCTCCTCATTCAATCCTCCCCACCCCCAGATTCTGYGGGAATAAAGCAAAAYGAGAAAGATTGGTCTAAATTAGGGGCTGTTTTAGCACAATTTCTTCACTCGGCACTTGTAGTCACATAAACAAAGCCATCCGAGGGGATACTGCAGCTTTGTTCATGGCTGTAATTTAGGGCAATCTTTCTTTAATTCACATCCTCTTTGCGACAGGAACAAAATTTTCTGCCCTCGTATCATGTGCAATAATAAGAAAGCAGTAACACGACCTCCGACTCCAATGTCCGTGCCCCTCTCCAGCCCTGGCACCCCGGCCATGGCGCTGCCCTTGCCAGCATTAAAACTAAAGAAAAAACAACCCCCACCTGTCAGGGTCTCGTAAAACCCTCGTGTCGTGTCCGGTTTTTCCTCTCCTTCCCTCTGGAAGACACCTCGGGACAAGAACAGGGGAGGTGGCTGAGCTCACCCCCAGCGCTGCTGCTCGTGGCCAGCCGGGCGCGGTCTCAGCTCCTGGGTGCTCCCGCTGACCTTTGTGTAGTACCTTGTTCATCAAACATGTTCTTTATGAAGTGAATAAATTCAAGCTAAATCATGTACCAGTGTYGGGACTTTTCCATTTGCAATCTTGTTCTACAGTTCACCCGCGAGTTCAGTTCTGACCATGTATTAGTCATCCATATTTTATTTATGAAAGCTGTTTATACAGGAAAAACTGTTGAAGTTTTACCAATATCTTAATAAAACAGTAATTTAAACCACACTCCAGCTAGTCTGGTTATTTAAGAGCTAATGAAGCAACCAGCTGTGCCTTTTCTGTGGTGACAGGGGGTTTCCTTTGTGGGATGTGGAACTGGAATGATTCTGTTGAGCTCTGGCTTCCAGGTGGTTGCCCAGGGCTCATTGTGGCCCAGCTCTGCCGTTTTACAGCCCAAGGAGGGCAATGTCTGCCAAGCTTCTTTCTCCCTGCTCTTTACAAAGCTCTAAATTAAAGTTGTCCATAAAGTGAGCAAATCCCCAGCTCCTCTCTTGCCCAACAGCTCGACCCAAGCTCCAGARCAGCCTCTATTCCTGATCATTTCCTGCAGCTCGGGGCTCTCACTGGGAGCAAAGTGTGGGTGCAGCAGAGAGAGAGGTCCCTGCTCACCCCATAGCCCCAAACACTCCCACGGCCCCTGCAGAGTGCAGGGTCTGGCCCTAACACCCCTCCAGGCTCAGTACTGGAATGGGCTCTGCTCCCTCTGCAGCTGACACAAAGTTGTGAAAAAATCTGCCTTCTTCTCCATTCCTGTTTGCATCAACGAGATTTAAGGATTTGGTCTGGCTTCTACAAACAGAGAAGCCCAGAGGTGTTTAAGTGTTTTTCACTGAATAATTAAGMAAAAAAGTGACAGGTGAATGGCAGGAAAAAGCCCCTCCATGACCAGCCAGAGGAGCTGACCCTGACAGCCTGCACCGTTTTACTTATTCACACACAAACAGCTAAACTCAATATTTCAACATTCATTTTATTAACAAAGTGCAAACAGTTTAAAACTAGGAGTTGTAGAGCACATTCACACGGACCCAGGGCACAGGCAGCCACACGAGGACAACACCAGTAGGTACTTACAGGGCTCATGCTTTGTCACTACCCAGGCATCAGCTCTCAGAGAGCTTCACAAGGAGTTTAGCAGCTCAAAATGCAACGAACAAAGAGTTTGGCAATGGGTGTGGTTGGTCCACGTCACCAACTGGGGAGAACAATCGCAGCGGGGGCGGTTTGCCCCCCAGCTCTGGAGCCACCCCTGGCACTCCCGAGGACAGTCACACACTCGGGGTGTTGTGAGGACACTCATCCCCCCGGGACAGGGCTCAGCACATCCCCACAGCTCAGAGAACGCTGTCAGTGCCAGGCTGCAAAGGTCGCTGTGCCYCGGGGACAGGGTTAAGACAACGCAGAAGAACCACGAAGTGCACACAGGCACGGAGCAGCCACGCCTCAGCTCCAGGGAAYGCACACACCTCTCACAGGGATGCAGCCGTGGGTCTTCAGGCCTCCAGCCCGCGCTCTACCTGCTCCAAACAAAGCCACTTTGCACTAAAGGCTTCAAACAAACACATTTTCTGACAGCTACTCCAGCCCAGTCAGTTTTGTACTGATTATGGAAGTGTTCAGCCCTCCCTCCCTCCTTCCCAGACTGCCTCAGAGCCAGAGGGAGCTCAGGACCTTCCACAGGATGAGCAGTGGCTCTGGCTGCAGSTCCTGCAGCCCCCAGCGCTGGCCAAGGAGAACCATGGCAGTTACCTGGTGCTGTCATCTCCAGGGACGAAGCTGAGATCGTCAGAACTGGCTGGATCCCCGTCTGGTAACACCGAGGAGCGTTCTGAGGGTGAAAACAACACCAGCAAAACCCAGTCACCCTCAGCAGCGAGCACTGGAGCAGCCAGGGAACGTTCCCTCCCCTCACTCAGGCCAAAACTTCACCCCCATGAAGTTCACCCAGCTTTGATCCATCAGAATGGAAGTTAAAGCTTAACCAGAGGACGTTCTGAAGCTCCACGAACTGCTGGAAGCACATTGAGATGCAAATCCATGTCTAAGGCAGTGGTTCCCTCCTGGAATTAGCCTACTTCCAGTGCCAGTCCTGGCCCACGGGGAGTTCCAGCTGGGAACTGGCACTATGGGTTTTCCAGCCCTTCCCCAGGAGAGTCACCTAAACCGACTTCTCAAGGCTAGCCAGAGTTTCCCTCTCCTGGTTTGAGCTGTTTTAATTGGGATCCCGAGAGAAGAGTTCCAGATCTTACTGGCAGATTCTCGAGCTTTAACACCTCCACAGYTCCCCCAGGAATCGGGATCTGAGGAGCTCTGGGAATGTTTGGGAAGAGAGGCTCTGCCAGCTCTACCTTCACTGGAGGGCTGCACGGAGAAGGCGTGGTTGAACACCTCCGAGGGAGAGGTGGCATCTTCCTGCTCCTCGTTCTCCGTGTCACATTCGATGTCACTGTCACTGCTCATCCCTGGCAGCAGGTGAAGGACGTGCTTCTGACACACCCCGGCTGCAAGAGAAACCAGAGACACCCAGGGCACAACGATGGCAGCGACATCTGCATGGGTGAAACAGCTGATTTTCACCCATGGAACAGCTCCTGCCAGCTCTTGGGATTTGATATCAGGAGAACTGAGGGAAGGAGCACTTTGTAAGCACTCAGCATTGAGTACCAGCTCTGGGTGTCACCAGCTGAGCTGCTCACTCTACTCTGCAACTGGGACAGAAAAGCTGCTTTTCCAGGAGCAAAAAGGCAGCAGGACCTACCAGTGCCTTCAAGCAGCAATATTTGAGTCTCACACAACAAATCTCCCCTCCAAAGCAGAACCAGAGCTGTTGGTGACTCCAGGTGGTGACCTTGGGCGTGCACTGGACAGTCAGAACTCTGTGACTGACACAGGGTCTGCTTGGCTCTACTTCTTAAAAGCTGATGCTCATTGCTAACAAAAAGCAAAGTGAGGGGCCAACTCTACTGTAGTTTTCCTCTGAAGGGAAAAGAATTGTAATATTTGCTTCCTGGGGTTTTTAACAATGAAGTATTTCAGTTTCTACAGCGCTTTCCTATTGGGCTCCCTGCTCTGAGAGCAGAACTGCGGGAGCACATCACGATCACGCTGCAGTGACTAAGAGCAGAAATTCAGTTTTGTCACTGAGAGACCTTCTGTAAATGCCAACTCCCACACAATATTGCACACTGCAGCTCGAGATGGATGCTGGCACCTTAATATAGGCTTTGCGCTACAATCCAGTCATTGAAATTCAAATTAGTGCAGGGGTGGAAGGCAGGAGAGTTTGAGCAAGATAAGAAAAACTCTGTGTGGACTTTCAGAAGGAAAAAAAGCAGCGTGAGTTTTTTTCCAGCACGGAAAGGATGCAGGAAGGGAGGGGAAAACTTTCCTTCAAGTCTCTAAGGAAACTGGTTTGTGCACCACAACACCCGGCACGAATGAAGTGCTGGARAGGCTCTCAAAAGTCACCAAGGGGGTTGGTTTGTCCCTGAAGGCACAGAATGACAAGCCAAGGTCACTGGCTGCTATTTTAATTCAACATGAAATTCTTCTCAAGGCCACTCCACCAAACAGCAAAGAAGAGCTGGGGATGTCCCAAGGTCCAAACAGAGAGCGCYGGCCGCACGTGACAGCCCCGAGAGCAGCACACACAGATCTCCTGTCCTCACTCAGGTTTATTCTGCAGCTGCCACGTTACAGCCAAGCTCAGCAGCCGTGGAAGCAGCTTTTGGGGGCTGTTTGCTCTCGTTCTTTGCCACTCCAGAGGCGGAGCAGCAGCGCCCGCAGCGCTGCCACGCTGCACCCGCCCCCCAGAGAGTCCAATTTACCTTCCTCTGGTCCTGCAGAGGCWCCTTCAGAACCCATCCCCTGCAGCTCCCCGGGCTCAGAGCTGCTCTCCAGGCCACCAGACTGGGCTCCTTCTGTCCGACACCCCTTGGAGTTTGAGCTTGGGAAGGAATTTAGGARAAATACAAAACCCTACATTAGAAATTCAGCCTCGACTCAGTTGTGGGAATAAAGCCTTGTAGTGTCACATTTAGTTTTACTCCTTGTTTAAGTCTCTGGCACACCCACTTAAAATTCCAGCTTTGATTAGTTTAGAAATATTTAAAATCTTTAAAAAAAATCTTGAAAAGTTTGAGTGTTTTTCCAAAAAAGGTGACTCTACTTGTTTTGAAAATATAACGTGAAAACTGCATTGCCCTTTGCTTAGCTGGCCAACAGAGAATTATCATGAAACAGCAGAAAAATCGAGTTAGAATGAAAAACATCATCTTAAACGAGGAAATCAAAAGTGATTAAATTTCAGTTAGAGGGTATTTTGCATGGAACAACAGGAAAACAGACCTGGACTGACTTTCAATTCCAAGTGTCAGACTCCAGCCAGAGAGACAAAAAAGGAAAAAAAAAAAAGAAAAAAGACAACTTGTAACCTAGTTATAAATCCAAAAATTGCTATCCAGAGGGAACAGCAGCAACCAAATAAACTTCAAAGTAATTTCTCTTTCATGCTACAAGCACCTGGTTTTAGGAGATTGTGGGGCTTCTGTAGATCAAGGCAAGGTGGGGGAGGAGATTAGAGGAAAAAAGACTCAACCCTTACCCCACAGCACCAACTTTTCTGTTCTTTTCCACAGCAGCYAAGCCATTCAAGCCAGAAGCTCCCACCTCAGAATCTGATCCCTCACTGGGTCTCTCCTCTGGTTTTGGCAGTGCCTCAGCGGCCCCGGGGCCGGCCAGGGCCCGAGTGTGGGGCCGAGCACTGAGCTTGGAGCTCCCCAGGCCTCCTGAGAGAGAGAGCACAAATGTGACCCATGGGAGCCTCCCCTCCTTCCCTGAGAGCTGGAGAGGGGCAAACACCAATTCCTGTGTCAGGGGTTTCCTTGTGCTCATCCTAAAGGAAGGGCAGTGCACAACTCAGGAGTAGCACTACCATAAAATCCTACCATAAAATCCTTATTGGAGTTTTCTTGAGTTCCCTCTAAGCCCCATCACAATTAAGCCCAGCTCAATGCTGTGATCCAGGTTTTCACTGTCAAGGTCGCCCCAAGAGATCAGAACACAACAGAGAGATTTACATTCAGKTGAGTGTGAGGTGCTGCCTCSCAGAGCAGCAATCACAGGCACAGTWACMCTCACTGSGGTGGAGAAAGGATCCATGCAAGTTTAAGGGAAACTCCAGTGCTAAATCAAAGATCACTGAGAATCTTTAGCCCAACAGATGCCAGTGCCATCCCAGGCCAGGTGGCAGTGCCCACGTACCCTCAGCAGTGTGGCTGTCCCCCTTCAGGCGCAGGTTGCCATCTCCCCCGTCCATGGCTCTCCTCAGGGACAGGCTCCCTGCTGCTCCCGAGCGAAGGGGCTTGGCTGAGCTGCTTTTCTTACTGGCAGCTGCAGAGAAATGCCAACATGTGCCAGGTGTTCAGTCCAAGCACTGCTGCAYCCTGACTTGTCACAAGTGAAGCTTTGCATTATTCTCATCGCTCTTGAACTCCCAGTTCTGCACAAAAATCCTTCCAAAAATCCAATCCTTCCCTGTCCCAGGCCTGGGCTGGAGGGAAGCTTGGCCAAGGCTGCACARGTCACATTCCCTTGCCTTACACAAAGACATCCCTCAGAAAGCTTCACCCACCCATTCYTTCAGTCAGCAGAGGCAAACCCAAAGCCTGGGTTATTTGTGTTTAAGATTCCAGTGAGTCTGGACTGCTTTAATTTGTTCCCTAAAGTTCCCAGATGGGCCTGACTAGAACAGTCAAGAGAGTGACTTCCAGCTCAGACCAGTCTGGTACTGGGTTAAACCTCAGAACACCCTCACTGCATCAGGTTTGTCACTGGCTGTGGGGTAAAGTTTTGGTGTTTTACAGAGAAAGGCTAAAATCAATTTCAGCAGCTCAACAGCAGGACAGGTTTCCATTTCTGATCTCCAGCTGAACCCGAGCACGAGGAACTGCCTGGGGACACGAACCACCTGTGAGGACAATTTCAATCCCCCTTTCTCCATGCACTTACAATTCCTGATGTAACAGCTGGTGACTGAGGACTTGGTCAGGAGCTCCATCCCTATTTCCTGCAGTTTGCTGCAGCTGTCAGTGCCACAGGCAGCCAGAGCCCCCTGCTCGATGGAGAAGAAGCTGGGCTGTCCCTCTCCCGAGCCAGCATTGCTGCTCCTCACTTCAGACAGCTGGTTCTTCACATCTGACATTTTGCTTCGAACTTCAGCCATCTGGGTTTTGAGTCTTTTCAGCATCTTCAGGTCAGGGGGCACCCTCCACATGGCCTGGTGCCTCCGCTGGTCCCGGTCCTTCAGGGAATAGGATGAGGCTTTGCCAAAGGAAAAGGTAGAGAACACAGCAGGTAAGGAAAATTTACTCTCAAATAAACAAGGGAATCTAAGAATTCTATCTTTTTTCCTACATTCTGTCCTGGCATTGCACCACACTGAATTTACAAGTGCTGCAAAGCTGCTGGGGCAGCAGGGTTTTGTTCCCTGTCCTGGAAGAAGATCCACAATCCTGCTYACTGGGAGAAGCCAGGCTCCCAGCACTGCTGCAGGAATTGTGGGGACACCTGAGCCCCTGCCTTGCCAGGCTGCCAGCTCATGTCAAATTGGTTTTTATAAAACTTGTTGACTTTGTGTGTAATTCTCAGAGCACCAACATCTCATAACACAGAGAACTCAAAGAAATCTGAAACCAGGGAAGGAATTCCCTTAAGCACCTCASAGCAGAAGATCAGATTGAGCACTAATACCTGAATAAGCCTTGGTGTTGCTCATGTGGAATTAGATCAGCTGGATCTATCTCAAGTGTTATAAATTCTGTATTTCATTGCAATGTTCCAAACTGTAAACTCAAGTGAGGTCTGGCAACTCCAAATGAAACAGCAGCTCTGTCTTTACTGCCCAACTCCAATAAATTCTAGGAACAGCCAAACCCCAAGGGAAGCTCCACAAAACAGGTGATYCTGGCTGTGTTCAGCAGCTGAAGATTCACACAACTCAGCCTCACCCTGCTTGAGTGGCACAGCACAAAGTTCAGTGCCCYCTCTTGAGCTCCTTTTGTCCAGGGCTTTTTCCAAAAGCAAAACAAAACTGGGACTCACAGCTGATGTGCTGCTCCTTTGTTTTTGTACTTCTAAAAGTGACTTCCATTTTTGGAAATATGGATTACATTCACTGAAAATTCGTGACTGTTTATGTAACTACATTTTAAAAGCTAAAGACAAAGGAACAAAAAGAGTTGGAGCCAGCTTTTAAATTCAGTTCCACCAATGCAACCACTGGTGGCAAAGGACATTTGTTTCTCTTCTGTTCTAGAAAGTCACCAAATGGTTGGTACAGAATGACCTGAAATAAGATGCTGTGGCACTGGGCCAGCAGCTCAAATAAGTGTCTATCATGAGAAAATTCAATCAAACCTCAATAATAGATTTGATTCCTCACTAAAAGCGGAACAAGCAACCTCCAGGAAGAGCCAGGGGTGCCAGGACTGCCAGCTCTGCTGCCCAYGGAGTAAATTGGTGTTTTCAGGTCAAGGATCCCCACTTGAACCACAAATACTCCTCCATTATTTAAATACCATCACTATTTTTGGCTTCTGACATTTTGATCCTTTTTTTTTCTTTTTTTTTTTTCTTTCCCAGCCTTACAACCACTCGCATTTTTCTAGTTCCAACTGCCTTTTTCAAGCAGAAGGAAATTTCAGGATTACTTTTGTTGGTTTGCACCTTGCTCCAAGTACTTCCAACCATGTGCAGGTTCTTTGTTGTGCTGGCTTTCAGTGCCAACCCCTTCCAGAAAAGTGGCATTTCCAGGTTGGATGAAATCAYCCAACACATGGTGCAGTTACCTCTGTTCTGCAGAAGCGAGGCAGGAGGACGTGGCTGAAGGCCCCAAAGGTTTTCCATGCCATTTCTGTCTTTCAGGTCCAACAAGTGGATCAAAATTAAGGGATCTATGTCCAGCAGGCTGCTGCTGGCTGTGGAGCCCAGGGCACTGGCTCCCCTTCGGGAGGGTCTCCCACTGGCACTGCTGTAGCTGTGGCTGGTACCTGAGGAGAGACACAGAGAGGGGATGTGTGACACAGGGATGCATTATTCCCTGAAAAAAAAAAATTAAATAATTATACAAGCAGATTGAGAATAAAAACATCACATGAAACTTAACCAGATGTTGGTATTTMATGGATTTCTGGATGCTGTAATCAGATGTGCTTCTAATTAAAGGTTAAGWTAAAAAGTACTGGAAAGGGGGAAGTGCTTCACTTCATAGCTTTTATAAAAATCCCTTAATAAAYAGRTTTGTTAAACAAATCAATACAAAGATTAGAYTTWCTCCAAAGGAGTAGGGAGACAAAYGTGTCCCTCCCTGAACTTCAGAACTTTGAAMCWGGGAATTKTRTCTTTCAAGCACCAGACTTRTMCMRSWG